TATGTCTTTTATGACCGAGAAGAAGATTAAAAGTCAGCACCGCCCCTCAACCCGGGAAAAAAAGGGAACCCCCCCACTAACCAAAAAAAAAAAAAAAAAAAAAAAAAAAAAAAAAAAAAAGAATCACAATGACTTCCATTGTTTGTGCTCCAACAATGGGAGGGCAGCATGTACTTGGTTTTACAACAGTCAACCATTCTGAATTGTTGATCCAGGACTCCCTGTTGTAGCATGGAGAGAGAAGGAAAATTCCGATCTCTGGGTTATTTAAAAACAGAAAGACAGGCCCGGCACAGTAGCTCACACCTATAATCCCAGCACTCTGGGAGGCTGAGGCGGGCAGACCATCTGAGGTCAGGATTTCAAGACCAGCCTGGACAACATGCTGAAAGGCCATTTCTAAAAATACAACAAAAAAAAAATTAGCCAGGCATTGTAGCGCATGCCTACAATCCCAGCTGCTCAGGAGGTTGAGGCAGAAGACTCGCTTGAGCCCAGGAGGTGGAGGGTGCAGCAAGCAGAAACTGCATAACTGCACTCCAGCCTGGGCAACAACAAGACTCCTTCTCAAAAAATAAAAATAAAAAACAAAATACAAAAAATAACACAAAGACATAAGAAAAGAAGAGAGGGAGGGGAAAGGGAGGTGGAAAGAGAGAAGAGGGAGAGAAGAGAAAGGGAGGGAGGGAGACAGAAAGGAAAAGGAGTGACCTTGTTAATTACCAAAGAAACAGTCCAGCTGACTTCTCAAAGATTCCTTGTTGCCAGTTGCCGCAGTAATATCCATTACATGCTTATTCTGTGCTGGCCTCCGGGCTAAGTACACTACCTATGTGCTGACCCAGGATCAAACCCCAGCCTCCTGAGCAGGTGTCCTTAAGCAATTATGCTAAAAGCCCCTAAACCATTTCACTCCAGATCACCTGGCCACTCCCGTGCTCTCTCAATTTTGCTCCTGCTCCGCTTCCAAATTACCTTCCTTCACCAAACACCCAGAGTTAAGTGCAATGCCTCATGCCTGCAATGCCAGCACTTTTCAGGTGGCAGAGGCAGACCAGCCTAGACAACACACCAAGACTGTCTCTACAGAAAATTTAAAAAACAGCCAGGCATGGCGGCACGCACCTGTAGTCCCAGCTACTTGGGAGGGTGACAGAAGACTGCTTGAGGCAAGGAGATTGAGGCTGCAGTGAGGTATGATCATGCCACTGCACTCCAGCCCAGGCCAGAGAGTGAGACCCTGATGCTTTAAAAAAAAAAAAAAAAAAAAAGAAAAAAAAAATATCACCAGCCTGGCAACCAGGTGAAACCCCATCTCTACTAAATATACAAAAAATTAGCATGGCGTGGTGGCGGGTGCCTGAAATCCCAGCTACTTGGGAAGCGGCAGGAGAATCACTTGAACCGTGGAGGCAGAGGTTGCAGTGAGCCAAGATCATGCCCCTGCACTCCAGCCCACGCCAGGGTGAGACCGTGACGCTTAAAAAAATCACCAGCCTGGACAATGTGGTGAAACCAAAATACAAAAATTAGCTTGAAGCTGTGGTGCACAGCTGTAGTCCCAGCTACTTGGAAGGCCAAGGAGGGCGGACCATTTGAGGTCAGGAGTTTGAGACCAGCCTGGCCAGCATGGCGAAAATCCATCTCTACCAAAAATATAAAAAACAGCTGGGTATGGTGGCATGTGCCTATAGTCTCAGCAACCTGGGAGGTTGAGGCAGGGGAATGACTTGCAAAACACGCAGCCTAGATTCTACAAACATGAGAGAAAACACTTACCACAAGAAACACACAGGGGCTAATTCGAAAGTTTTTTTTTTTTTTTTAAAAAGGCCAACTCCTCCACCTTCAATCAAGTAAACAAAGCTGTTGCTGGAAAGTCCAGATGCACCCAGAAGGGTGATGTAATGGTGCGGAGGCCAGAGAGGCGTGGCGAGGGCCACAGTGCAGGAAGACTCCAAAGAAAGAACAAGAAGGTGATTTACAGCGCGGAGGGACCGGGAGGGCGGTCCACTTCCGCACCCCGCCCTCCCGTTTCCTGGCTGTAAGCGGAGACGTTTCTGCACCCAGCAAGTAGAGACAGATCAGGCCCGTTCCCAGTTCCCAGGCGTGGCTCTCATCGCCTCACACCCTCTACTTGGGAACATCTCCAAATAAAACAGGATCTTAAGTCTTTAGCCTAAATTCAAACTCAGGCTCCGGGAGGATGCAGCCAGTGCTCTCTGCAGCCTATGCATTAGCAATTCGGAGATCTCCTTGGAACCTGCGGACACGAAAACCTGTCGCTGAAATGTTGTGCTGCCATTTGGGGCTAATTCGAATAAGCTGTCAGCTGATGGGGGCATCAATAGATGCTCTGTTTGGTCCCTTAAAGGCTTTTTCATTCAACCCGTGATGAATAAGCCAGTTGTTAAGAAGTCTGGCCCAGCTGAATACATTTCTCTTAGGTGACTGACAAATATTTGCTGGTGGCAGGGTCCTCGTTATTCCAACGTTTCTTCCCCGTGCTGTGTGCTCTGAGTCTCATGCATCTGACATGGTTGTAAATGAAGAGGTCTCCTCCAGGTTCAAGGGCTCATTCTTGGCCAGGCGCCATAGCTCATGCCTGTAATCCCAGCACTTTGGGCGTCCGAGGCAGGCGGATCACAAAGTCAGGAGTTTGAGACCAGCCTAACCTATATGGTGAAACCTCATCTCGACTAAAAATACAAAAAAAAAATTAGCCGGGCGTCCTAGTGCACGCCTGTAATCCCAGCTACTCAGGAAGCCGAGACAGGAGAATCACTTGAACCAGGGAGGCAGAGGTTGCAGTGAGCCGAGCTCGCACCACTGCACTCCAGCCTGGGTGACAGAACAAGACTCCATCTCAAAACAAAAAAAAAGGCTCAGTCCTGAAGCAGAAAATTATTTAGTGACTGCTTGATATTTTACGCGGGATCCATGGAGGGCCTGTTATCCACCAGAAACTGCAGTTCATACCGCCCATCTTCCTTCTACCCAGCTTTTCAACCCTGAGGCCCCTTCAATTTAGGAACTACAATCAGCAGGCACAGTGGCTCACACCTGTAATCCCAGCACTTTGAGAAGCCAAGGCGGGCAGATCACTTGCACTCTGGAGTTCAAACAAGCCTGGGCAACATGGTAAAACCCTGTGTCTACAAAAAATAACAAAAATTAGCCAGGCATGGTGCCGGGGGCCTGTAACCCCAGCTACTGGAAGGCTGAGGTGGGAGGATCACTTCAGACTGGAAGGCACAGGTTGCAGTGAGCTGAGATTGCCCCACTGCACCCCAGCCTGGGTGGCAGAGGGAGACTGTCTCCAACAACAACAAAAAGAAAGATAATCATGCCCCATTGCCTGTAGCAGGCGTTCAGCTGTTAACAGTGGGTGAAGCGGGCCAGCTTCAGGGAGAGGCAGCAAAGACACGAAGGCCTCAGTGTCAGGGATACAGGGACTGGGGCAAACTCGAGAATGTTTGTTCTAAGCAACCACTAGTCAGGTTTTTTATTTTTTATTTTAACTTTTGCTCTGTCACCCAGGCTGGAGTGCAATGGTACAATCGTAGGTAACTGCAACCTCAACCTCCTAGGCTCAAGCGATCCTCTTGCCTCAGTCTGTTGAGTCGCTGAAACTACAGGTGTGCACCACCTTGCTGGGCTAATTTTTTTATTTTGATTTTTTTGCAGAGACAAAGTCTCACTATGTTGCCCAGGCTGGCCTTGAACTCCTGGTCTCAGGCGAGTCTCCCTCCTCAGTCTCTCAAAGGGCTGGGATTACAGGTGTGAACCACCGTGCCTGGCCAGAAATCCATCTTTTTACAGGAAGCCTTACCAATTTTGATGGCTGAGAATATATATAATAAAAGGCAAATAGGGTAAATATTATTGGTAGCGCCTAGATAGTGGTGGGTTCACAGGTATTCACTGGAAATTCTCTCAGCCTTGTATGCTGGAAAACATTCACGGGGAAATGTGGAACAAAAGCCACTGAAGGCTGATCAAACACCACCAGTGGGGCAAATGGATCAGCAGATGGCCAGCTGGGCTCTGCTTTGCAACAGAAAGCTTCAGCTCCACTGCTCACCTTCCATGTGTTTGGGACCTTTCCTCTGTGCTGCCCCAACCTCCAATCCACTGGTGGGTCCCACACCCTTTCCTATGCATTAGCAAAGCCAGGCTTGCCAAGGTCCACCCAACACCCATTCTAGTCCATGCCTGTGATGGGTCCGATCAACTCTCCCTTGGCCCCATCCCCCAGGCACCAGGCTGTCAGTGACCACACCTGCAAATGCCCTCCACAAAGCCTCCCCCAACCCACACAGTCCTCTTTTTTTTTTTTTTTTTTTTTTCCTGAGATGACATCTTGCTCTGTCATCCAGGCTGGAGTGCAGTGGCACGATCTTGGCTCATTGCAACTTCTGCCTCAGGTCCAGGTGATTCTCCTGCCTCAGCCTCCTGAGTAGCTAGGATTGCAGGCACCGGCCACCACACCCAGCTAATTTTTGTATCTTTAGTAGAGACAGGGTTTCACCATGTTGATCAGGCTGGTCTCAAACTCCTGACCTCGTGATCTGCCCGCCTCAGCCTCCCAAAGTGCTGGGAGTACAGGCATGTATCATTGAACCCGGCTGTCCTTTCTCTCTTGAAAGGCTCCCACATCAGAGCTCTGTGACTGAACTCCACAACCCCAAATGTTTCATGGCATTAGGTTTGTCCTCCCAAAGAAGGCAACCAGCACTTCCCCTTTCATGGTCTACCACACCTAGTCCCGGGCACACACGGTTTTGACTCTTCCACAAAGCAGCTCATCAAAATTTACATAGGGAGTGGCTAAGCACTGTGGCTCACACCTGTAATCCCAGCACGTGGGGAGGCTAAGGCAGGTGGATCATAAGGTCATGAGTTTGAGACCAGCCTGACCAACATAGTGAAATCCCATCTCTACCAAAAATACAAAAATAAGTTGGGCGTAGCAGTGTGCACCTGTAATCCCAGCTACTCTGGAGGCTGAGGCAGGAGAATCGCTTGAACCTGGGAGGCAGAGGTTGCAGTAAGACAAGATCATGCCACTGTACTCCAGCCTGGGTGACAGGGCAAGACTGTCTTAAAAAAGAAAAATTTACATGGGGAGCTTAATGAGAACACACACACACGTACCAAGACCCCACCCAGACTTACTGAGAAATGGAATCTCAGCTCGAGGTGGGGAGATGAGGATGGGGAGAGAGGGTTCAGGCCTGTCGGGTATTTATGAAGCTGGGCCAGTGATGCTGGCTGCCAGCAGGGCTGAGAGCCAGTTTCTGGGGCACGGTGTTGACTTACTGATCCCTTGCTGAGCCCTACAGAATGTACGGAAGGCACGGTCTTTACCTGTCAGACCAGTGGGTTTCCAGATACGTGGCTATGTCTAGAGATGCTTTTGGTTGTCACCACCTTGGAAGTGGAGGGGGATGCTAATGGCATCTAGAGGGTAGAGGCCAGGGATGCTGCTAAACATTCCACAATGTGGCCGGGCGTGGTGGCTCACCCCTGTAATCCCAGGACTTTGGGGGGCTGAGGCAGGCGGATCACTTGAGGTCAGATTGAGACCAACATGGTGAAACCTTGTCTCTGCTAAAAACACAAAAAGCCAGGCATGGTAGAGGGTGCCTATAATCCCAGCTACTCAAGAGGCTGAGGCAGGTGAATTGCTGGAACCTGGGAGGCAGAGGTTTCAGTGAGCTGAAATCATGCCATTGCACTCCAGCCTGGGCAACAGAGCAAAACTCCATCTCAAAAAAAAAAAAAAAAAATCCCACAAAGCAAATCTCAGTCCTTCCCAACAGAGGATAGCCCAGGCTCAAATGTTAACAGCACCCAGGTCAAGAACCCTGCTCTGAACTGGCCCAGTCCAACAGACCTTTTGGTAATGAAGGAAATGTTCTACATCCCTCTGTCCACTAAGGAAACTCACTGACCACATGTGGCTCCTAAGCACCTAAATTGTGACTACTGTGACTTATTTTAATTCATTAAATTTCACCAGCCACAGCCGGGCGTAGTGGCTCACACCTGTAATCCCAGCACTTTGGGAGGCCAAGGCAGATGGATTACCTGAGGTCAGGAGTTTGAGACCGTCCTGGCCAAGATGGTGAAACTCTGTCTGTACTAAAAATAAAAAAATTGGCAGGGCATGGTGGCACATGCCTGTAATCCCAGCAACTCAGGAGGCTGAGACAAGAGAATTGCTTGAACCCGGGAGGCGGAGGTTGCAGTGAGCCAAGATGGAGCCACTGCACTCCAGCCTGGGTGACAGAGACAAGACTCATCTCAAAAAAAAATTTCAACAGCCACATGTAGCTAAGGACTACAATACTGGACCTTATTAGTCTAGCAAGACCTCCACTCTAGTCTCCCTGGCCAGGTAGTGGCTCATACCTGTAATACCAGCATTTTGGGGTGCCAAGGCAGAAGAACTGCTTGAGTCCAGGAGTTCAAGACCAACCTGGGCAAAAGAGCAAAACCCTATCTCTATAAAAAATACAAAAATTAACCAGGCATGGCCGGGCGCGGTGGCTCAAGCCTGTAATCCCAGCACTTTGGGAGGCCGAGGCGGGTGGATCACGAGGTCAAGAGATCGAGACCATCCTGGTCAACACAGTGAAACCCCGTCTCTACTAAAAATACAAAAAATTAGCTGGGCATGGTGGCGCGTGCCTGTAATCCCAGCTACTCAGGAGGCTGAGGCAGGAGAATTGCCTGAACCCAGGAGGTGGAGGTTGCGGTGAGCCGAGATCGCGCCATTGCACTCCAGCCTGGGTAACAAGAACGAAACTCTGTCTGAAAAAAAAAAAAAAAAAAAATTAACCAGGCATGGTGGCGCATGCCTATAGTCCCAGCTACTCTGGAGATTCAGGTGGGAGGAGTGCTTGAGCCTGGGAAGTCAAGGATGCAGTGAGTATAATCCAGCCACTATACTCCAGGCTGGGCAAGAGAGCAAGACCCTGTTTCAAAAAAAAAATTTTTTTTAAAAAAAAGGTCTCCTTGCCATATGCCCTATAAAATCGGTGTAGATAACCAAGAAAGTCCATGGGAACATGTGTGTAACTTGCTTTTCAAACCTCCACCCATCATGGATCACCTGAGGTCAGGAGTTCCAAACCAGCCTAGCTAACATGATAAAACCCCATCTCTACTAAAAATACAATTAGCTGGGCATGGTGGCAGGTGCCTGTAATCCCAGCTACTCAGGAGGCTGAGGCAGGACAATAGCTTGAACCTGGGAGGTGAAGGTTGCAGTGAGCCAAGATTGCACCGTTGCACTCTAGCCTGGGTAGCAACAGTGAAACTCCGACTCAAAAAAGAAAAAAAAGCTCCACCCATTAGAGGCACAAAGAATTCATGTCCACCATGTCCACCCCTACAGGCCCTTGGGCATGGGCCTGGAGCCTGGAGCCCCTCATTACAGGGTTCCTTCTTCCAGCCAAGCATACCATTCCCATGTTGGAAGCCTGTCTACACCTGAGCACACTTCCTCTCAGACCCTCACCTTGATGCTTTCCAGCTCCATTCGAAGGCGGTTATTTTCTGACAGGAGGTCTCTGTTCCTGGTTTCAATTTGTTGCAGCTGCGTCTCCAATTCAGCTTCATATTCTCGGCTTCCCTCCTGGAATTCTCGGAGCTCCTCTTGTGTATTTTCTGCCCTACAGCAGAATTTCCAAGCGTCACGCAATAATTTTTTTAGAGAAAAGAGTATCGCTCTGTCACCCAGGCTCAAGGGGTACACTCTTGTCTCACAGCAACTTCTGCTTCCCGGGTTCAAGTGATTCTCCTACCTCAGCCTCTGGAGTAGCTGGGACTACAGGTGCCCACCACCTTGCCCAGCTAATTTTTGTATTTTTAGTAAGAAGATGGTTTCACCATATTGGCCAAGCTGGTCTCAAACTCCTGACTACAGATGATCTGCCCACCTCCGCCTCCCTAAGTGCTGGGATTACAGGTGTTAATGACCGCGCCTGGCCAAATTCAAGGAATGTTTTTAAAATACCAAGCCTGAATTACCTTTAAGTCAAACTAGAATAAAGAATGTAGGAGGGGCCTGGTGCAGTGGCTCATTAAGGATTACTTGAGGCCAGGAGTTCGAGACCAGCCAGGGCAATATAATTAAGACCTTGCCTTCACAGACATGTGCATAAAAATCAGCCAGGCATGGTGGCACACGCCTGTAATCCCAGCTACCTGGGAGGCTGAGGCAGGAGGATCACTTGGGTCCAGGAGTTGCGGTGAGATAGGGTCACACTTGTGAACAGGCACTGCACTTCAGCCTGGGTAACAAAGATGCAATCACAGGTCACTGCGTCCCCGACCTCCCAGGCTCAAGTAATTCTCCCATCTCAGCCTCCCAAGTAGGTAGGACTCCAGGAACATGCCACCATGCCTGCTAATTTCTGTATTTTTCGTAGAGACAGGGTTTTGCCATGTTGCCACAGCTGGTCTCAAACTACTGAGCTCAAGCCATCTGCCTACCCAAAGTGCTGGGATTACAGATGTGAGCCACTGCGCCAGGCCCTCAAATAATTTTTCAATAAATAAAAGAAACTAAGGGGACTGGAATAAGGCCTCCATGTACAGACTGTAAAGACCCATTAGAAATAAAAACAAAGTGACAAACCAAAAACACACACGTAACTCCCAGATATGAGCACCCACCAAAACACAGGTTTCGAATTTCAAAATCTGCAACAAGATATTTTCATAGGCATAGGGAAAAGCTCTTTCCCTCCACACAAAGAACTGACCAGATAGGGCATCTAGGAACTGATAAACTCTTCTAGAAAATAACAGGGAAGACCAGGCATGGTGGCTCATGCCTGTAATCCCAGCATTTTGGGAGGGTGAGGCGGGCAGATCACTTGAGGCCAGGAGTTCAAGACCGGCCTGGCCAACATGGCAAAACCCTGTCTTTACTAAAATCACAAACAACTGGCCAGACATGGTGGCGTACACCTGTAATCCCAGCTACTTGGGAGGCTGAGGCACGAGAATCACTTGAACCCAGGAAGCAGAGAATACAGTAAGCCAAGATGGCACCACTGCACTCCAGCCTGGGCAACAGAGCGAGACTCTGTCTCCAAAGAAAAACAAAAAAGAAAAGAAAAAGAAAATAATAATGGGCCGGGCGCGGTGGCTCAAGCCTGTAATCCCAGCACTTTGGGAGGCCGAGGGGGTGGATCACAAGGTCAAGAGATCGAGACCATCCTGGTCAACATGGTGAAACCCCGTCTCTACTAAAACTACAAAAAATTAGCTGGGCATGGTGGCACGTGCCTGTAATCCCAGCTACTCAGGAGGCTGAGGCAGGAGAATTGCCTGAACCCAGGAGGCAGAGGTTGCGGTGAGCCAAGATCGCACCATTGCACTCCAGCCTGGGTAACAAGAGTGAAACTCCGTCTCAAAAAAAAAAAAAAAAAAAAAGAAAATAATAATGAAAAGTGGCATAGTAAGATAATCAGGACCATAGGTCTGGAGTTCAAATTATAGCTCTACTACCTATAGGCTGTGTGACTGTGGGCAAGTTATCTGCCTTCACTGAGTCTCAGTTTCTTCATCTATAAAATAGGGGTGTTAATAGTTTCTTCACAGGCAGTTTTGAGATAGTATAAGTTAAGCCTTCCACAGCACACTGTAATCCCAGCTACTTGGGAGGCTGAGGCAGGAGAATCACTTGAACCCAGGAGGCAGAGATTGCGGTAGGTGAGATCATGCCATTGCAGTGCAGCCTGGAAATAAGGGTAAAACTTCATCTCAAAAAAAAAAAAAAAAAAAAAAAAAAAGGAAAAGCAGGTCAAGTCGGACTGACCTCTGTTTGTAGGTCATTGCCAGATCTTTCCAATAGTTAGCTGCTTCTTCCTCAGAGCTGAAAGTCTTTCCGGAGTCCTCCATGGTGAAAACAGTGGAAGAGATCAGTCTTCTTGTGGCATGGTGTCTAGGATAGAAGGTTTGAAAATGATTACTCACATCTGGTTAAGTAGTTGATGTTTAACAACAACAAAAAAATAAACTTCATGCTGCGTTAAATTATTAAATACACCAAAAATCTGAAGTGAACCCAAACAAAAGACAACCCACTCAACTATTACATTCCCTGGGTTAACATCAAGGCTCATGTACATCCATATACAAATATTTATTGAGCACCTACTATAGGATCAAGGGAGCCATGTTAAATGTCTCCAAGATGCCTGCCTTCCCTAAAGGGGACTCAGCCTGGTGGAGAAAGAAGGGGGGGAATGTAAACTGCACATAAATAATAATAATTATTATTATAATTAACTATTTGAGACAGAATCTTGCTCTATCACCCAGGCTGGAGTGCAGTAGCATGATCTCAGCTCACTGCAACCTCTGCCTACTGGGTTCAAATGATTCTTGTGCCTCAGCCTCCAGAAAAGCTGGGATTACAGGCATACACCACCACGCCTGGCTAATTTATTTTTAGTAATGACAGGGTTTCACCATGTTGGCCAGGCTGGTCTCGAACTCCTGACCTCAAGTGAACCAGCCGCTTCAGCCTCCCAAAGTGCTGGGATTATAGGCGTGAACCACTGCACCTGGCCCCATGTAAATTATAAAACTATGTGTCTACTGCAGCCACAGAAATGTGCACACGATTTTGACATGCAATAAATTGCATATGTTTGAGTATACACATTGGTATGTTTTGACATATGTATGCACCTGAGAAACCATCATCACAATCAAGATAATAAACATTTCTATCAGTGCCCAGGATATTTAAGAAGTTCCAAACTCAAACTCAGTCAAGGAAGACTTCCTGGAATAGGTGACGCATGAGGAGCATGTGAAAGAATATGAAAGAACTGGAAGGCAGTGGTAAGTGAGTAGGGAAAAAAGAGAACACTACACAGAGGGGAATGAGGAGAAACAGCCAGGCACTTATAGGGGAGGTAGAGAGAGTCTGGTAGGCCTGGGTTGAAGGGTGAAGGAGCAGAGGGGAACCTGGACAGACTGAAATAGATGGCTTTTGCCATCTGTGACTTAGTGGCAATGGGAAACCATTGGAGGTTGTTAAGGAAGAGAGTGATGTGATCTGAATGTCATATGATGGGCTCTCCTGCTTAAATAGCTGGTCCTGGTGGCCATGGACAGGCAGAGGAAGGACAAGTCCAAAGATGGAGAGACTTGCAGCAATGCAAAAAAGAAAGGAGGGCGGAGGCCAGGCGTGGTTGTCACACCTGTAATCCGAGCACTTTGGCAGGCCAAGGTGGGCAGATTGCTTGAGCCCAGGAGTTCAACAGCAGCCTAGGCAACATGGTGAAACCCCACCTCTACTAGACATAGAAAAAAACCAGTCAGGTGTTAATGGCACATGCCTGTGTTCTCAGCTACACAGGAGATTGAGGTGGGAGGATCATCTGAGCACACGTCACAGAGGTTGCAGTGAGCCAAGATCGTGCCACTACACTCCAGCGTGCGTGATGACGTGAGATCCTGTTTTAAAAGGAAAAAAGAAACGAAGGTGGCCCGCATTAGAAAGTGAGAATAGGCTGGGTATAGTGGCTCACAACTATAATCCCAGCATGTTGGGAGAACAAGGCAAGATGACACTTGGGGCCAGGAGTTCAAGACCAGCTGGGGCAACACAGCAAGACTCTACCTTGACAAAAAAAAACTTTTAAAAATTAGCCTGGTGTGGTGCAACACAGCTGTAGTCCTAGCCACTTGGGAGGCTGAGAAAGGAGGATCATGTGAGTCCAGGACTTTGAGGCTGCAGTAAGCTATGAGCATGGAACTGCACTCCAGCCTGGGAAACAGAGACTTTGTCTTTTTTTTTTTTTTTTTTTTTTTGAGATGGAGTCTAGCTCTGTCACCAGGCTGGAGCGCAGTGGTGTGATCTCAGCTCACTGCAAATTCTGCCTCCCGGTTTCAAGTGGTTCTCTTGCCTCAGCCTCCTGAGTAGCTGGGTTTACAGGCATGCACCACCACGCCTAGCTAATTTTTTTGTATTTTTAATAGAGACAGGGTTTCACCGTGTTGGCCAGGATGATTTCTATCTCCTAACCTCGTCATCCACCCACCTCAGACTCCCAAAGTACTTGGAGTAAAGGCGTGAGCCACCGCGCCCAGCCACCAATAGAGTGAGACCTCGTCTTAAAAAAAGAAAGTAAGGGCTGGGCGCAGTGGCTCAGGCCTGTAATCCCAGCAATTTGGGAGGCCAAGGTGGGCAGATCACCTCAGGTCAGGAGTTCGAGACCAGCCTGACCAACATGGAGAAATCCAGCCTCTACTAAAAATACAAAAAAATTAGCCAGGCATGGTGGCGCATGCCTGTAATCCCAGCTATTCGGGAGGCTGAGGCAGGAGAATCGCTTGAACCTGGGAAGCAGAGGTTGCGGTGAGCTGAGGTCTTGCCATTGCACTCCAGCCTGGCGACGGAGCTAGACTCCATCTGACAAACAAACAAAAAAAACAAAGTAGGAATGAAGATGGAGGGCGCAAAAATTGACTCCAAAATTATCTAGCCGGTAAACTTACCAGAACTTGATGAATTATGACTTTTTGGAGTAGGGGAGAGAGAAAAAGGAGGTGAGAACATCTTCTGCGGCTCTAGCTTAGGCAGCTGGGTGCCACCACCATCTGCATCACCAGAGATAATGAATTCCAGAAAGTGTGGTGCCTCACATCTGTAATCCCAGCACACTGGGAGGCCAAAGCAGGTGGAATGCTTGAGCCCAGGAGTTCCAGACCAGCCTGAACAACCTGGTGAGATCCTATCTCTACAAAAACAATACAAAAACTAGGTGGCCATGGTGGTGTGTCTATAGTTCCAACTACCCAAGAGGATGAGGGGGGAGCATCACCTGAGCCCAGGGAGGTCAAGGCTGCAGTGACCCATGACCATGCCACTGTACTCCAGCCTGGGCAACAGAGCAAGATCCCATCTCAAAAAAAAAAAAAAAAAAAAAAAGATTCTCAAAAGGAAAACTCTTGGGTAGGTGGGTGGGTTAGGGAGAGAGAACGAACCCAGTCTCAGATGTTCACAGCTTGACATGTTCATGACACACCGAGATATAGCATTGGAGCTAAAACTCAGGGTTGAAATCGGGTCAACAATATCCATTTGAGACTCATGTCTCTATGGCTGGTTTTTCTCTTTCCTTGTGACAATGAGAGATCCTAAGGACTGTGTATGGAACACCAGAGAGTGCCAATATTGGAAAGGCAGGCAGGGAAAGAAATGATAGCTGAAGGAGGCAGAGAAGAAACAGAGTGAGAGAGATGAGGAGTGACAGAGATGACAATCAGGAAGAGTGTGCTGTCCTGGGAGGGGACAGTTTCAAGGGAAACATTCCAGTGTCACAAGGGTGCAACAGAGAAGCAGGGAAGATAAGGGCTGGAAAATATCCACCGGGCTGAGTGAAAAGTCAGTCACAGGCGGTATGAGCAAGATGAGTTTCTAACCTGTGGAGGAGGAAAGACAAAGAACTGAGTGCAGGAGTAACTGGGAGGGGAAGATGAGGAAGGAGATGGAATTCTGGAGAACTCCCTAAAAGAGGATGAAACAAATTAGCCAACAGCTAGAGGAGGTGAATGGTAAGGGCACTGGCTCTCAGGACTTTGGGCTGTCCACAGCAGAGGTGAGGGAAGCACATTTTTTTTTTCTTTCCTAATAGGCAGGCTCTTAATCTGTCATCCAGGCTGAAATGCAGCAGCACAATCATGGCTAATTGCAGCCTTGGACTCCTGGGCTGCAGTGATTCTCCTACCTCAGCCTCCTGACTAGCTGGGACTACAGGTGTATGCCACCATGCCCAGCTAATTGTTTTTTAAGAGATGGAGTCTCACTATGTTGCCCAGGCTGGTGTCAAATTCCTGGGGTCAAGCGATCCTCCTGCCTTGGCCTCCCAAAGCACTGGGATTATATGTGTGATCTATCACACCCGACAGGAAAGCAGACTTCTATTAACAGTTGGGCTAATGGTTTGTATAATCCCTGTTGATAGAGCCTGCCTGATGTAATCATCTACTTTCTGAGTTTATCTGAGGCTCTGAGCTTGTCAAAAGAGCATAAGGAATCCAAATAAGACTGTGTCCAAGGCCGGACACAGTGGCTCACACCTGTAATCCCAGCACTTTGGGAGGCCAAGGTGGATGAATCCCCTGAGCTATGAGTTTGAGACCAGCCTGGCCAACATGGTGAAACATGGCTCACACCTTTATTCCCAGGGCTTTGGGAGGCCAAGGCAAGAGGATCACTTATGCTCAGGAATTTGAGACCAGCCTGGGCAACAGATGGAGACCCCATCTCTTGAAAACCCCTGTCTCACTCAGCGGCCGTGGCATGTGCCTGCAGTCCCAACTACTTGGGGGGCTGAGGCAGGAAAATCACTTGAGCCTGGGAGACAGAGGCTGCAGTGAGCCAAGATTGTGTCACTACACTCCAGCCTGGGCAACAGAATGAGACCCCATCTTAAAAAATAAGAAGGGGGTAGAGTGTTAATAGCAATCATTAACAAGGTCAAGAGCAGGCGTAAACCTAGGCCGTGGACTCCCCACTCAAGGCATAAGCTCTAATAAACCCAGATCTCATCTAATATGTAGTCATCAAACCAATTCTATAGCAACAGGAGCCGAGGGCCAAGGCATATATTAGTGAGCATTGTGTGGCCATTAAGACATTGGTGGCTGGGCACGGTAGCTCACGCCTGTAATCCCTGTACTTTGGGAGGCCGAGGTGGGTGGATCACCTGAGGCCAGGAGTTTGAGACCAGACTGACCAACACCGTGAAACCCCATCTCTACTAAAAATACAAAAATTAGCTAGGCATCGTGGCAGGTGCCTGTAGTGCCGGCTACTTGGGAGGCTGAGGCAGGAGAATCGCTTGAACCCAGGAGGAGGAGGCTGCAGTGAGCCAAGATCGTGCCACTGCACTCCAGCCTGGTGATAGAGTGAGACTCCATTTC